ATTGATTTTATTTGTATTTACAACCATAATGATTCAACCAACGAGGGGTTGGATCAAGTGGTAAATGGCTTGTTTCAGTTTAAATAAAATATCGAGTTTGAGATCTTATGTACGTAACAGTCTTTATTGGGAGACTCACCCATCATTTTCAAGTGCGTGACGCGGGTTGATCCGGATTAATCGGGACGAAATCCCAGATACCGGACGAAAAACAAAAAAAAAACAACCATAATGATTCACATACACAATATTTTCTCAAAAGTGAAATATTACAATTATATATAATATTATAATTAATCATTTTTCTCTAACAATTAAGGACCTGTGAATCAAAATGTTTGTACTAATTTGATATCATATGATTATATATTATAGATTTTATTATTAAAAAAGAGAATAATATTTTGTAAGCCGTCTTTCTAAACATTTTCTTGGATGATTTATCTAAAATCTTTTTTTAAATTATATTTTCAAAAACTAATAGTTAAGTTACAATTTTTTATTCATATAGATAATGGATGCTAATTTTTAAATTATATCTAACAATTTCATTAATTACCAAAAATCTAATATCATTGTAAATAGAAATTTTTATCAAAAATTTATAAATGTTAAGTTAATATAAAAATTAACATACATAATCTACATGATAGAATTTTTAATTTAATAATTAATTTTTAAAAATATTAATTAAAATATCAATTTTTAAACAGATTTTTTAGAAACAAATTGAGATAACAACTTTTTTTTTTAATTACGTAATAGGAAATAATAATCTTACATCTTTTATCTTATCCACATATCATACGATTGAAATTCAAAATATCTTACTTCTAATAAAAAAAGATAATTACTTAATCATTTAAATCGTTAACAAAATCACAACCTATTTTACACTATCATCTAAAAAAAATATTATACGTGAATTAACTTCATTTAAAAATATAAAATATGTTGATAAAATAGACAATACGCGAAAGCCCACTCAACAGTCAACAGCATATCTTACGGGCGACGGTGTCATGAATACACCATTTGATTTTGGTAGGTGGCTCTTTTCTTCTGTACTTCCCTGATTTTATTCGTTCATACATCAATTCCCTCTTCTTTGTGTGCTTTTGGTCCCCTCAAGTTTTTTGTACTTTTTCATTCAAAATCTCTTTAGATTATTTTGATTATTGAAAGGATAAGGGATTTTTTTAAAAAAAGTTTCGTATATGACGATCTTGCTGTGACCGTCTCCACTCTCCATATTGGTACTCATCGTTGATATGCGCCAAGGAATATCTAAAGAGATAGGGATTTAAAAAAAAAAAAAAAATTAAGTCCAATTGTTGCCATAGCAAATTGTAGTATTTCACTTTCAATGTATAATAACATCAGAGTCCAATTTTCAATCTGCACTTTAGTCTTTTAAGGAAGCTTTTTTCTTTTTCTTTTTCTTTTTCTTTTTTAAATAATAAATTCCATAATTTCAAAGCTTAGATCAGCTTTTCCATTTCTTAAAAATCCCACCTAACAATATCAAAGTATACAACTTGCATGCATAGCAACAAAAAAAAAAAAAAAACCAATTAATTATTTTTCTTGTAGGGAATGGAAGTTTCCTTGCTTTTGTCGACGCAAGAAAGCAAAAGACATCGATATCGTTAATAACATAAATTAAGATTCAAACTTTTAATTATGGGTTAATTAAGAGCACTAATCTCATGATCTTGAGCTAATGTTTTTTTAATTTGAAGCGTAATTTTGACCTAAAACCATGGTGAAGCATGCAGTTAACCATGCATATTTGATATTACTATGACTTGGTCTCCCTTCCCACGTTGTTTGGAAAAGTGACCACCAGCGATCATGGTTAATCTATTATTACAAAATGATTCATTTGGTAATGCAATTGATACTACTACGTAATTGGTAAAATTAAATGATGCTACGCATTTCTCATAGTATATAGACCTGGTTTTGATTAAACTATTTTAAATATTATAATTTATACATGATTGATAATTACATAGTGATATTATTGTCATATAAAAAAAGCGTAATATAAAAATATTATAATAAGTTAAATTAAAAAAGTCTGATATTATCTATTACCATCATAATAAGTTAAATTAAAAAAGTATGATATTATCTATTATTATAAAAATATTATAATAAGGTGTGATAATAATTCTACTCTAATAACTAATACCATCATAATATATAAGCTTATATTATTTAAATTATAAATAATAACAACTATCAATAGCTAGATATTATCCATTATTTATCACTTTGTTCCCAAAAACAGTCTAAATATTACTATCTTAATTCATTTTTAGTGGATTTAATTTTATTTTTTTACTTTTCGAATATAAATTATAAAT